CTAATAAGCAAGAATCTCTTTCCAGTTGAAACAGAGGAAAACGCTTGAGATTATTAGTTATCTATTTAATGCATTTATTTGATAGACTTATATCCCATTTTTCCCAAAAGCTCAAAGTGGCAAATATAAAACTTCCTTTCCTGATTTTTCACAAAATAGTTATTTTGTAAGGTAAGTAGTTTTAAAGGATAGTGACTTGGCCCAGTAAGCTTCAATTGCTAAAGGTGGACTTGAATTTGAATCTCCTTAGATTTGGTTAAAACCAAAGAACTAACAACCCCTCCAGACTGTCTCTTCTAATCACTGCTCAGCTGAACGATGTGCAAGCTAATCTTTATCTGATTTGGATCTGTGGTCTGCTGGAATTGTTAGCACTCCTCCAAGTGCTTGTTAATCAAGGCAAATACATGTAGAAGAACTTGAGGATGGGGGGGAGGGAAATGGAGAGATCAATTTATTGGGTGTTGAATTGCACAGAAAGCCAAGCTAGAGGATTCTCTCTTAAATGCATATTTAACGACTAAGTTAATTGCTGGATTTACCCACGATAAATCCTAGCTGTTTGAATATTTGTATTACTTTGGTCTTCAGAAATCACAGTTGTTTAACGTTTACAATCCAGATTAATATCAGGATTGGCTCTAATTTTCCCTGATTCTGTCATACCTGGCTACTATATGTGCCCTTTCTACCATTAATTTCCAGAACATTGCTCAGCCTTAGATAGCATCTTAGATTCACTCTAAATCCTAACACTTTGGTCTTGTTCATCTGCAACTGATTTCCCTTAAAGAGTGACTACCTTTACTATTTCTCTCACAGCACATAAAGCAGTTTTGCTTTCATGTTCAGGAATCTGATGCAAGCTGGTGTAATCTGCAGGTGGCTGCTCATGGAAAATGCTGAGTCACCTAGATCCATCTAGGCTATGGGTGGGAAATCTGTTTTTTTGAAGCCAGAGGCTGAACTTTGTTTTATTTCATTTTGGTGGCCAGTGAGTGCAGAGTTGGAGCAGTGTTATAATATTAATTGGGGTGGGGGAAGGATTGTTAAAGAATTATTGGCCTAATATGTTCTTTTTAAAAGGTATGCTTTAAGATCTTCATTTTAAATTATCTTACTCTTTTCTATTGTTATTTATATACAATAAATAAATTGAAGTGGCACCTTCTAACCTAATTTTTGCTGATTTCAGAAAAGTTAAGCAGGCTTAGAACTGATTATAAATGGATGGGAGACCACTAGCAAATCCCAGGGCTGCAAGCTTAAAGGGAGTCTTTAAAAAATCCCAGAAAAAGGCAGTAACAAACTACTTTTGTATAGCTGCCAAGGAAGCTACATAATTGTGCCCTTGTAGTTCTGATAAATTGAGTCCAACTTAAAGAAATCTTAATTAAAAAAAAAAAGAATTAAAACTCTTTGTGATCTCCCATCTCAAATTTTCTGATGAATTCTAATGTAGACTCATATTTTTGTCTTTCAAGAAAAAAAAAGGTTTTCAATTTTACAATAAGAATAATAAAATAATGGGAAAATATAACTTAAAATATAGTAGAGATGTCAAGAAGAGAGGGTATGGACTTCTTAGATTTTTTCCGGGAGAAAATGCCATAACCACGATACACTTTGAAGATGCCTTGTCCCTTATATCTGCCAATCTTTTTTAAACAAACAATCTTAGATGTTCAATATAGGCATATACAATTATTCATATGTTAGGTTATTTGGGTTTTGTAGATCAATTATAACCTGCTTTAACTATTTTCAAAACAATTTTCATGCTTGCATATAACTAATGATCCTTATTTTACAGCCAAATCAGTAAACCATTTGAACTTGGTAAAAAACATACCTGCTCACTTATATAATCCATGAATCATGCGCAGGAATGAATAGTTTCTTGGTGGCCACTAAAGTGATTCAGAGCCATATGTAGCCCTGAGGATATAAATTGCCAATCACAGATCTAGAAACAGTACTTGATCTCAGAAACTCCAAATTGCATAACTGGGATCTTTGGAAGACAGCAGTTTCATCACTGCCTCAGTAAGGCAGACTTTCACACCCCCAAATTGGGAGGCTACCATATCACCCTTTTACTTTATGCAGATGATGCTGCGGTTCTTTCTTGACCACTAGTGGGTTTGAGAAGGGTGCTGAGGGAGCTGGCAGAATACTGTAGGCAAGACTACCTTGTCATCAGTTATCAAAAAACTAAGGTCTTATCTTTTGCCAAGAGGCCCAGGTTGTGCTCATGGCACATAGATGGGTACCAAATTGACAGGTTACTAGCTTTAAATATTTGAGAGTGGTATTACATGCCTCTGGCTCTACAAAGGCCCATATTTAGTATGCAAGCACAATAGCACAGAAATTGTGATGGACTGGAATGGAGGAAGGGGGGGGGAATGGTCCTCTCGTCTCCAGAGCAACGCTCTGGAGATAAGCAGAGGAAGCTGGCGCATCCCTAAACATTCCA